GGAGTAAATTATGAATCATTACTGAATATATATTTGTGCCTTTCATAAAAAGCATTTTTTCTGGATTTCTCTAAATACCTTGCAATGTAAATGAGGTTACAGCAAAATTCAAACAAAATTATATTTATGTATACTTATAAACATATTTGAGACTGCTAACAGCATGAATTGCACTGAACAAAATAGTTATTGAGGTTTTGATAAAATTGCTGGCCACAAATTTATTGATGTCTCTGTTTTAAAGGTTTCTTTGCTTCCCTAATCGCCTAGCACCGTGATGGTGAACCTATGGCACGTATGCCAGACATGGCACACAGAGCACTTTCTGTTGGCACACGCGCAGTAGTCCCAGCCCAGCTCCAGTCATGTTTTTCCATTGCGTTTCACTCAATCAATTCCAACTTCTTGTGAAAGAAAAAGAACTTTTTCACTCACACACTTCACAATGGGGGATACGGGATCCCATCTTCTCCTGAAGCCCATTACGATGCAGAGCCACAATGTGACCCTTCGTCAGCTCGTCAAAAAAAGCAGTTTCTTTTCCTGCAGAGCTGCCGGTGTTGGGATGCCCCGCCTCCCCATCAGCCAGCTGAGCTTCTTCAGGCACTTAGCTTGGCCACCTGTAAGCTCCACCCCACCCTCCACCTCAATGAATGGTGTGCAAAAGTTCAGCCAAGGTCCTCAAGAGACGGAGTTTTCAGTTGGGGCAATCTAGCCACTCGGGCTAGCTTCAACACAAATGTTCATTCTCGGCTTTGAGATTTCCTAGCTGAAATGGACAGCAAAGTTAGGTTCATCCCCCTGCACCATCCAACAAAACAGAAAAGTGGGTGGAGAGAAACAGTCCCATTGCCAAGGTACGTGTGGGTCCGAGGGGAGGCAAAAATTCCTACTTCAGCCGCCTGGTGCAGCGCACGGCTTTGGGCGAAGGCTGGAAGGAAGTACCACTGGCTCACTCACATTCTTCCTCCCCAGTCTAGCTTGACGCAGGCGGCATCACAGCTCACATTGCCCTTTCCAAGCCCGCTGTGAAGCTGAGCACCTCACATTCTCCCCTCTCTGCTAGCCCCCTTCTTCACACGGGATCACTCAGCAGTGGGAATGGAGAGGGAGAAGGGGGGGGCGTTCCTGTGTGCTGCCATTTTTGTGTGCTAATGCTGCTGTTCCCTTCTTCACACGGGATCACCCAGCAGCGGGAATGGAGAGGGAGAAGAGGGCAGCAATGGCCGCGAGCATTGAGGGGAGAGTGCCACACAAAAATGGCAGCATGCAGGAACCCCTTCTCCCTCTCCGCTCCCACTGCAAAGAAGGGGGCTAGTAGAGAGGGGAGAGTGCAAGGTTGCTGCTTCTAGTAAAACGTTATTAATCAGGTTAAGTTGCCGTGTTTGATCTTTGCGATAAATAAGTGAGTTTTGGATTGCAGTTTGGGCACTCGGTCCCTAAAATGTTCGCCATCACTGGCCTAGCATATAGAAAGAGTAATAAAAACATGTGAATCAAAACAAACAAGTTATGTAGTCCACGCTTGCTTAATTAAGGATTCAAGTATTTTTCTTCCTGCAACAGCTGTTTCAATTTCTAGATGCCCACATTGATGTTTAATGTAGTATAGATGTTGAAATAATGACTTTCTAAGTTATTATGGTAAGAGTGTCAATGGCATGTCCTTGCAGTAGAAGTCAACAGTGCTAGTTACTGAGATAAAAAGTGAGTGTTTACTTTTAAACACTCTTTGGAAAGTCCCCCTGCATTTTATTTTATGGCTATATTAAAATGCCTCAATATGCAACATTTAAAATTTATAATGCTTGTGACTGATAATCGAATCAGTCCGTTATCTGACTGATAGATAGACAAAACTAGGAGCTGGACTTCTGCAAATTCTGGAAATCTATAGGCTCTCCCACATTTGCTTTAGCTTACAGCCATACTTCAGTAACCCTTCATTTTCACCATTAAGTTAAGGTATAATTGTGATGATATGAAGTATGACAACCTAGCTCTGAAATTGTGATTTGAAAAGATGAGCAAATAATATTCACAGAATGAATAAATATAATTCTCCTTAAAACAGATTTAAGTATTTTTGTGGCTCATCTTCTTTCCTCTCAGATGCCATCTAAGAAAGAAGTTAAGATAATAATAACATGACTCTTTCCAACCTTATTTTTTAAAGGCCAGTTGCTGATAAAACATAATTTAAACAATGGTAAAATCATTGAACTTTCATATACCACAAAGATCTGGCTTCATTCCCGGGTCTCCCCTAAATTCTATGGGCTGGAATTTTACCATTCTTCTGGTCCTTTTTGTTGGGCCATGTCCCCAGAATAGGAGATATTAATTGACCCCTAGTATATTGATGTATGGTCTCCTAAAGGGTCCCATCTTATCCCAGGCGCTTTAACATCTATATGAAGCTGTTGGAGTAGTTTGATACACAGTGCCATCAGTATGTTAATAACAGCAGCTCTATCGGGTTTCCCATTCAGTTCCAAGGAAGCTATTTGTCCCCTTGAAAGTTGCCTTAGCTCAATAATGCATTGGAAAAGAGAGGACAAAATTAAGTTAAATCTGAATGAGATGGAGGTTGACAAATAGAAAACTGAACTCGAAGATCAAGGATGACTTATACTCCTCCTGAAAAACATGGTTCTTAGTGTGGAAGTACTTTTTAATTCTCAGACTTCTTAATCCCCAGACTTGGAATAGCAATAGCAATTAGACTTATATACTGCTTCAGAGTGCGTTACAGCCCTCTCTAAGCGGTTTACAGAGTCAGCCTATTGCCCCCCAACAATCTGGGTCTTCATTTTACCGACCTCGGAAGAATGGAAGACTGACTCAACCTCGAGCCTGGTGAGATTTATTTATTTATTTATTTATTTATTTATTTATTTATTTATTTATCAAATTTTTATACCGCCCTTCTCCCAAAGGGACTCAGGGCGGTGTACAGCCAAGATAAAAACCAGCAATATAAAAGTTAAAAACAATTTTAAAATTATTAGATAGTTTGGCCAATCATCTAAAACACAATAATCCATTAAAATAATATTTTAGGCCAGCCCTGCTTGATGGAATAATAGCGTTTTAAGGGTGCGGCGCAAGGTACGGAGATCGGGAATCCGACGAATCTCCAGGGGCAGCCCGTTCCAGAAGGCAGGTGCTCCCACAGAGAAGGCTCTCCCCCTGGGGGTCGCCAGTCGACGCTGTCTAATCGACGGCACCCTGTGCAGTTGTCAAGTTGCAGGCAGCCGTCAGGCAGCAGAAGTAGCCTGCAGTTCTGTATTCTAACCACTGAGCCATGGAAGAGATAGCTGTGGCAACTGTGAGGTTGTCATGAATAATATATAAAAGTTGAATAGTTGTAGAGTATATAGTAGGCAAGTTAATATTAAGTTAATGTTGCTAACCAGTCCAAGGTAGATGAATGAAATAATTCCTGTACAGAAAGATATGTGTTGTTTGTCAGTGACCAGTCTTCCTGATTGGAGGAAAGGGCAGCCTCAGGCATTGCACTCAGACTAGAGAAGGCATTCTATCAGGAGTTAGGTTTGAAGGCCACTCTCAGGGATTTGAAACATTGGAAAGTACTAATAAAAGAGAATATTTGTAGCTCAGGGTTGAAATGAGGGGTCCTTGGTGCTCTCTGAGCTTGGTTGTTTTCTTGCAAATGTTTCATTACCCATTAGGTAACATTATCAGTGCTGGTACTTTCTCCAGGCTTTTTAATCGGTAAAATAATTTATTTTAGTATGATTTTTTTCATTAATTTTCATCTGCAGTTTTCTTTTAAAATAACTATTAACCATCTTTAGTGCTCACCAGAACTGAAGGATAAGATGTTATTCCAATAAATAAATAGTTCTAGAATTCTGTTCTCCACAATTTTGACAGATGGCTAAGTCTCTGGTGATTGCATGAACATTCAGTGTACTGTCATTTTTTTTTTCAGAAGCAAGTACTTAAATTCTTAGGTGTTGTTTTTTGGCTAATTGTTATGTTTTTACATGTATTTTAGAAATAGCTCCCTTTTCAGTACCAAAGTAATAATCATATCAATGCTGACAAGAGAATAGAAGTAGACATAATAAGATGGTTTACATTGTTTCTTATAGAAATTTCTTTGCAACACAGTTACAAATTTATCCATGCTTTGGATTCTCAAGTCTAGTCTCAATGATTACATGGATATATCTGTACAGGTAGTCCTCAACTTACAACCATTCATTTAGTGACCATTCAAAGCTACAATGGCAGTGAAAGCAGTGATTTAAAAACATTTTTCACACTGTAAGGTCATTGCAGCATCCCCGTGGTCACATATCAAAATCAGGATGCCTGACAACTGGCATGTATTTATGAGGGTTGCTGTGTCCTGGAGTCATGTGATCACCTTTTTTGACCTTCAGTGTCAATGGGAAGCCAGGTTCACTTAACAACCACGTTATTAACTTAATAAGTGCAGTGGTTCACTTAACAACTTGGCAAGAAAGGTGGTATAATGGGACAAAACTCATTTAACAACTGTCTTGTTTAGTAACGGAAATTTTGGGCTCAATTGTGGTTGTAAGTCGAGGATTACCTGTATAGTTTTCTTGGCAACAGCAGGGAAATCATTGGCCATAGCTGCTTTCTGGTGGTTTTGTTTGTTTGTTGTTTGTTTTTACTTCTCATGGCAGCCTATAATCCTCCAATAGGACCCTCCCTTCATGCTCTTCATCATCTGTGCCACACATTTGCATCATATACTTTTATGAGCAGGCATTGGATTTTGCTCCCAGCTGGCTTCATTGTGTGTTACACAATGAGATAGAAACTAATTGAGCAGTTGTTTTAGGTTGCATTATATATGTAATGACTATACATTGGTGCACACACATCATAGCTAACAACATTAGGAAGTGAATTGGTCATCAGCATATATTTGAGATATTAAGTTTAAAACTTTTTAATATGTTTTATTAAGAGTGCTGAAATATTTCTCATTTTTCTAGGTGTGGAATATCAAACAGATGATTAAGTTAACCCAAGAACATATAGAAGCTCTATTAGACAAATTTGGAGGAGAACACAATCCACCCTCGATCTATTTGGAAGTAAGTATTGAGTTGGAAATCATTATTGTTGCTATTTTTACATAGGTTTTCTGCTTATTAAAATATTTCAAAGTACTTGTAGGTTTATATTGTTAAAGCAGGTGGGTATGCATGAATGATAAAGTGGAGACAGTCTAACAACAGTCTTAAGATTTAGCAAGAGACTTCCACACTCCAAAGGATATAAGAAAAGATTCGAATATGAATCAGGATTGGGTTAGTCTAAATCTGCAAGGCCAACTATCACAGCGGCCAATTTTTTCTTACTGTCTAGTGAATTCTGAGCATTTACAGGTTTTGGGCCACTTCCCATGCTTATTCTTCTTGTGAAATGGCACCCAGCTGTCCTACCAAGGGATTTTAATGTTGAAGTGAGTATATAGAATGAACGATGAAGGAAATATAGGACAGATGATGAAGGCAGTAAGAATCGGACGAGTTGGAATCGGAAGGAAGGATAGAAAGTTAAATGGTATAAAACTGATAGGTGGGGGGAAAGGATAATAAGAACAAAATTTTAAAATGGTTAAAAAAAAAAAGGGAGCTGGTGAGTGATGTGACTTGGTGTTGACATGGAGTTGTCCTTCCATAGCAGCAAAGATTGACAAGGGAACAGAAGTAGAAATAACAATTGCCTTTGGCCAGTATCTTTTGGGAACTATAAAATAAAGTGGCAGCTGCCATTTGTGGCTAAATAGCTGCCGTTTTATCTCATCTGCTGGAGAATGGAGGCCATGGATTGGAGAGTCTTGTGAAAAACAGTAACAGAAGTAGAAACTAGGCAGAAAAACAAAGGTGAGTGACACGGCAAATATGGGTGACCTGAGATGTATGTGAGAACAGTGGAGGTATGCTAGCTGAAGAACTTTGTGCCTGCAAAGTTCTCTCAAAGCTGATTTGTAGGTTGTGCATAGCGAGCATAAACAGAACATCAAATCTGTTGGCCAAAAGATCTGTTCAGAAGCAAAAGCAAACTGGACCCAATGTAAAAACGCTGAGTGAGAATTGATTCTTGGACTGTGACAATAGGGGGAAGCAATCTCCAAGTGAGAGGCACGGAGGATTTTTTAATAAATTGAAATTGCAGTTGTTAAAATTGAAGGTAATACACAAATATGGTATGACTGGGAACTCAGAGAATTGTTGGGTTTTATGGGTTCAATAGAGAAGCAAAATTGGTCCACATACTACGATCTGATGAGCATACAAATGTGAAGAGATACAAGTGCAAGAGGCATGGGAATGGAGAACCATATTGATTCAATGTTGTACAGAGGAAAGTATGGCTGAGAGAAGGGGCGTTGGTCTTACCTGACACGCTCCTTCTCGTTGGGTGGAGACAGCATCCAGTCCAATCAACTGAACAGACGAGTACAACCCATTCCTATTCCTGGATGCTGTCTCCACCACAGTGGAGAAAATCTGGAGAAGTGTTGCTCTGAACATTCAGAAGGCTTTAGCAGTGAATGAGAGCACAATTCTGGTAATAACTGGAAATGTAGTGTCTGTGCATGATGTTAAGCCAGGGCTTAGCCTTCTGCACATATTCTGTCCACTCTGCTATCTAGCAATTGTCCTTCAGAAACTTTTAGACTTCTTTCCTGGCTGAGGTGACTTCATGCTTTGTGGGGACTTCAGCCTCCATACTTTAGATACGGAGTTTGGATTGGCTTGAGAGTGGCAACCATGAACTTGTCCCAGTAATTTTAGTTCCAACTCACAAAGGTAGCTCCATGGCAGATGAAACTTGATTGGAATATGGAGGATATTAATTTTGTCCTTCGCCATGGCCGGAGCACTTTCATGGTCACACTGCACATTTTGAGCATCCTGGTCATTTGTGAGAGCAGTGAGCAGCACCTATTAAGGTGGTTTGTCTCAGAATCTTGATGGATGCTGAGAGTTTTCTGAAGTTCATGATGTTAATGCTAGATGTGTTTCTGACAGTCCTCCAAATCATGGTTTAACTATCTAAAATGTACATTCTTTCTTTCAATTAACATGGTACTGCTCCTTTTGCTTGTTAACTCTATCATCTGAACTGATAAACCATGATAGAATGTATTTCAGACTCTGGTTTTGTTTCTGGTTTTGAAAATAAATTGCTGACGTGGACATTGCCTTTCAGCAAAATTCATAGTTTCTTCAAAGGAGAAAGAAGAGATGCCTGGAGTACCAGTGGATGAAGACAAAGAGTGAAACTGATTGAGCATGAGTAAGAACTTATATTAGGGCTTACATTGTGGCAATAAGGGCAGAAAAAATGTTTTTTCTTTGCCCTTATTGTTTTTGCTGGTAGCTGCACAGCAACCCAGTTCAGGGAGAACAAATCCCTGCTGAGAAAGGACAGATTGCAGAGCATATGCAGGGTTATTGTGAAGAATATTTTTGCTATTTGGCAGATAAAATTGCTCGGATTCACTCAGAGTTTGACTCTGACTGGACAGTGCCCAAAACAAAGTCTTTTGTAGTTATCTAGAGCAAATTTTATTCTGTGACTCTCAAGGAAATAGACAGGGGTTTTCAATCTGTCAGCTAAGCCAACTGCTTGTTAGATCCAGGTCCCTCCTAGATAAACTAGACAGGGACCATGTCTAGATGAGTTAATTCTTCTTTATTCTAGGCTACATAACAGAACCTTGCAAGTCTAAAAGTACAAATCGCAATTTTGAACCTCCTGCTTAATTAGGGCAGATTTTTCCTAAGTTTCTTCCTCTGACCCTTAAATCACTAGGGTTCCTGGCTCCCTTGTCTGGCTGTTTCCTAGGCAACATCTCTTCCCCTTGTCCCTCAAGGTATCCACACATTTCATTTCGTTATTGTAGTCTGGTCCATATGGGGACATCAGCTTCTTTGTGGCAGATGGTGATCCCCTCAGCCTTGAAGGAAGCGATGGTGCATTTTGGTAGAGAGTAAGGGAGATGACCTTGACAGAAGTATGCAACAGAAGACTGTTATCTAAGTGAAGAAGGAAACATTCTTTAAGTCCTGGGGGTGGGGCAAGATATTTGTCAAACAAATGTCTCCCTGATTCACTAGGGCCCCAATTCTTGAAGTATTGGCCGAAGACCCCTGGGGATCTCCCAAGACCCTATCAAGGGAGCACAAAAAAAAATCAAAATTATTTTCCAAATATTGAAAATATTTGCAATTTTTTTAAAAATCTCACTCTTTTCATTTTTCTTACTTGTTAAAGAAGTATTGGGAGTTTTTTATTAAAAAATACAGACTTAATATTGTTATTTTTACATGATTAATAAATATTCTACAGATAACATTAGTTTGAATTTTTAATATGGTACTGTAAATATTGATAAATGTAGCCCATGCAGACAAGAGCTCTATAGGGTCCTCCTTAATTTTTAAAAGTTTTAAAACTTTCTGGATCGGGACGCCTTGCGCACGGTCACTCATGCCCTAGTTACCTCCTGTATGGACTACTGTAATGCTTTCTACATGGGGCTCCCCTTGAAAAGCACCCGGAGGCTCCAACTGGTCCAGAACGTAGCCGCGCGGATGATTATGGGCGCAGCTCGTTACGCCCATGTAACACCTCTCCTACGCGAGCTGCACTGGCTCCCGGTGGTTTTCCAGGTGCGATTCAAGGTGTTAGTTATCACCTTTAAAGCGCTCCATGGCTTAGGACCTGGGTACCTACGAGACTGTCTTTTGCCACCAATAGCCTCCCACCGACCAGTTCGTTCTCACAGGGAGGGACTACTCAGGGTACCGTCAGTCAAATTATGTCGACTGGCGACTCCCAGGGGGAGGGCCTTCTCTGTGGGGGCTCCAACCCTTTGGAATGAACTGCCCCCGGAGATACGGAATATCCCTGATCTCCGTGCTTTCCGCCGTGCCCTCAAGAGCCTGATGTTCCAACAGGCGGGGCTAAACATACGAACATGTGAATGATTTTTTAAATGTTATCTAATTCTGGGTTTTATTTAATTGACCAAACTAAGTAATAATTTTAATTAGCAATTTTATGATGTTTGTGTGTCTATATTTTTCTTGACTGTACACTGCCTTGAGTCCTACGGGAGAAAGGCGGTATAGAAATATAATAAACAAACAAACAAACAAATAAATAAATAAATAAAAAGTGAATTAGGGTCCTGAGTAGAAAGACTTTCAGAAACACTGCACTTGGGTATAAGTAGGAAAGAAGTTAAAGCACAATCAGACTAAGTGGCTATGTCTATCTGAGCCCATAAACCCAGAAGCACTGCATTGTTGATTCTCAGTGGGGTATCAGCCTTATGAGATAGACCAGACAGAAACATGACCAGATGAGCTAATTCTACTTTATTATAAAATTATATTAATAGAAACTTGCAAGTCTGAAAATACTTCCTTCCCCTGTCTCCTTTATAGCCCCAAATAGCTATCACACTTAGATTTAGATACTGCTTCATAGTGTTTTACAGCCTTCTCTAAACAGCTTACAGAGGCAGCGTATTTCTCCTAACAATCTGGGTCCTCATTTTACTGACCTTGGTAGGATGGAAGGCTGAGTCAACCTTGAGCTGGTCAAGATCAAAATGCTGAACTGCTGGCAGTCAGCAGAATTAGTCTGCAATACTTCATTCTAACCACTGCGCCATCACTAGGGAAGGTCCCTTTTGAGCCTCTTGCCTCACCACATTCCTGATGTGGGCTAAGCTGCCTTTTATCTGAACTGTTGCCTTGTCTTCCAAAGTCATTCCAACATACCATTATGGGGCATACTTCCACATTTGAGACAATCTGGGGTTCCTCTTGTATCTTCAGTTTCTACTTATAGAGCAGGTAGCAACTCTGGCCAAGAGGGTCTTTGCACAGACACAGGTACTATACATGTTGCCCTAGTCACACACAATTGGATTACTGCCATGCACTCTACCTAGGGCTGCCCTTGAAGATCATTTGGATGCTACGGCTGGACCAAAATGTGGGAAATGTTGCAAACACCCTACTGTTTCATGAGCTACAGTGGTTAGCAGTTTGCTTCTTGGATGTAA